CTACGGCACGAGAAGTGCAAAAACGCATAATCGCACCGGCCCGCCTGATGCGTTCCAGCCTGGGTTCATCTCGAGACCCGGAAAGCGGGAAGGCTGAAACTTTGGTAGCTTAATCTGTACCTATTTGCGGGCCCATATCATCAAAGTGATTGTTCACGTTTGTGTGGTATTCGCGTATGGGCACACGAAAATTTTTGGCGGATAAGTTGCTAAGTCGGTAGTCGGAAAAGCTAGAAAGCTGAAATTTTATGGGGGTGTTTTCTGACAGTCGTGGGGGCCAGTTTCAGTTCTTTTAGCTAGAAGCATCTGCCGGAAAAAAACAGTGTCGTCAGTGACAAAAACGCGCGGAAAACTGTGCAAAAAAAAACATCTTCGCAGCGGTAGCTAATGCGCTGGCCAATTATTCTGGCATTGCAACAGCTTGCGCAGTCAGAGTATGCCGTGGACGGCTTGTGTGCTAATCAACTGCTATTTCAGGAACTCACATAATTAATATTCGCATGACCTGGGAGAAGCTGCTGCTTGCTGCACGTGCCATTGCGGCTATCGATAATCCGGCAGATGTGTGTGTTGTTTCGGCACGCCCGTACGCACAGCGTGCTCTGCTCAAATTCGCTGCTCACACTGGCGCCACGCCAATCTTCGGGCGATTCACACCGGGTTGCCTGACAAATCAGATCCAAAAGCAGTTCAAGGTGAGCCAGTTGACTGAAAATGCCTTTTGAGTAAGGAAGAATGTTTGAGACAGTTTCCTCATGTTTTGTTTTTCTCACATCTGAGCAGTAACATGTAAAATACAATAATTGGCCAACGCACGGGCTGCCCGTGCGAAGATGCGTTTTTTGCATGGTTCCCCGCAGTTTTTGTACGAGCTGCCCGTGCGAAGATGCGTTTTTTGCATGGTTCCCCGCAGTTTTTGTTGCTACCGGCACCGGTTTGCAAATGCTTCTAGCTAAACAAATTAAGACTGGCCACCAGAACTGTCAGAAAACATCCCCTTAAAAGCTTTTCTACTTTCCGGCACCTGAGTTAGCAACTTACTGGAACAAAATTTTCACGGTCCCGTGCACGTTTACCAGCATGCCTGAGAGCTGGGTTCGAGCAGAATGAAACTTAGGTGAACGGGGTATATATTCTTAAAATTACATTCCTTTAGCTTCTCAGGTACTTGAGTTATCAACTTACCCGAAGGAAATTTCGGCGGGCTCGTACGCGGGAACCACGCTTACCCGGGGGGCTGGGTTTGAGCCCACCAATACCCACTTGGGCGGAGAACATTCCCCTAAGATTTCAGCTTTCTAGCTTCTCAGATCCCCGAGTTTCTTACCCGAAAAAATTTTGGCGAGTTCGTACGCGGATACCACCCTTACCCCGGGGGCTGGGTTTGAGCCCACTAATACTCGCTTGGGCGGGTAATATTGCTGCAAGTTTTCAGCCTTCTAACTTCTCAGATCCCCGAGTTATGAACTTACCCGAAAAAAATTTTGGCG